TTGGAGCCAGAGTACTTACTTTGGTCTTGAGAAACCATGGTTACAGAATAAACAAACCTGCAAGTGAAAATATTTCGTGAAAAAAATTAGAACACAAACGACGGTTATTTATAAACTACGACGTATGATAAGATTTTACACGACGTAATAACATAACATCAGACGTAATAAATGATTAAAGAAGAACAATATAAATGTTTAAACAACGACGAAAAATATTAAATAAGACGTAATAAGAACTTATTACGTCGATATTTACACGACGTCGTGATATTCATATTAACACGGCGTAAATATTAATATAACGTCGTGTTATGTATATTCACACGACGTGAATAATAAGCTACCGTCGTATTTATAAGAAACCAAAAACATTTTTCTTTCTTTGTGAATGTTTGATTGCAGGTTTCATTTCTCTGAAACATGGTTTTTGTTTTTCCTAATTTGATAAAATACAAAGAAAAAAAGCTTTCTCATCTTTTTATAGACGACGGTATCTTATTATAACGTCGTGGTATGAACATTCACACGGCGTCAATAATAAGATACCGTCGTCTATATAAGATACCAAACCCTACTTTCTTTGTCTCTGTATTTTATCATATTAGGAAAAACGAAAACCATGGTTCAGAGAAATCAAACCTGCAACTAAACAAGCAAATAAAAAATTGAATGTCATTTTAAAAACAACTTAGATCAATTTTAAGACGACGCTAGGACGACTGACGAACCGTCGTGGTCTACGTATTTAACCACGTAAATAAAAAGCTACCGTCGTCTTATTTAGTTGAGTTAGTTATGTTCAAAGTTCAATCTTTCCCTCTCTGTCTGTGTATTTTATCAAACTTGGAAAGAAAAAATGATTTTCGCCAGAAAAAAGGTAAAAAGATTTTCAAAACAAAAACAGTATGAGCATGCAATATAGCAACAAAAATAGTGAGAAATGAAAGCTTACCTTTTGCGTGCAATGAAAGCTTTCTCTCGGATTTTGGTGTTTAAGTTCAGAGGCGACGATGAAGACAAGAGGAAGACGATGAGATACTCTGACAGTGCTCTGACAAGGAAAAAAGACGAAAAGTTTTCTCTGGGAGATTGAAATGTTTTCTCGGGTTTGGAAACAGTGCATGTGTAAGTCAGGTAGACGAAAAGTTGTATATGTATACAAACCGTTTCATAGTAATAAGACGGCGGTTTACATAGAACGACGACGTATTAATAGACAAACTACGACGCTAATTTGAACTTATGACGTGGTACATAAATACGACCGTAGTGTTGTAGGTACCGCCGTAGTAAACTCCTAAATAAAAGTCGATAACTCAATATCTCGCGTCATGGTAGAAATATTTAACACGACGGTTGTTTTAAAGTTACGACGTTTATTTTTATAATATACGTCGTTTTATTGTAATATACCGACGTGGATAACACTAAACTAAAACGACGTATTATTTTTCCGACGACGTGGATTCGTTTTTAAACGTCGTTATGTGTAATATAACCGACGTGGATTTTATTTTTTTATTATAAATATAATTCTTTTCCCCTTTTTCTTATAGTGTATTTTTCAAAAACAGTGCCTTATAGATATAGTTTTTTTTCCCGAGGAAATTAATGTTCTAGAATTTGTAAAGTTTCTTTTCTAGGTGACTGATTTAAATCAAATAAAAATATAAAACAACGACTGTTTTTGTTATACCGTCGTCGTTTCTTGTCGTTTTAAGTAAGAATAAAACGACGTAATATATTTGTTACCGACGAGAATTGTTTTTTTTAAACGTCGTTATGTGTAATATAACCGACGTGGATTTGGTTTTTTAATTATAAATAGGGTTTTTTTTCCACGGGTTCTTTCAGTTTTAGTATTCGATTAGGGTTTCAACTTCTTCTTGCCCCTTTCTCTGTCTCACCTCATCTCTTGGGAAGTTTTAGGAGTCAATTGTTTGGATGTGAATGTGTGTGTGCGTTTGTGTAGATACACAAACGCACATACATCATTCACTTCCAAAAAATTGTCTCTCTGATTGCAAATCTGTGGCTGCCGTCGTGAAATTTTAGGAGGCAATTGTTTGGATGTGAATGTGTGTGTGCGTTTGTGTAGATACACAAACGCACACACATCATTCACTTCCAAAAAATTGTCTCTCTGATTGCAAATCTGTGGCTGCCGTCGTGAAATTTTAGGAGGCAATTGTTTGGATGTTGATGTGTGCGTGCGTTTGTGTAGATACACAAACGCACACATATCATCAACTTCCAAAAAATTGTCTCTCTGATTGCAAATCTGAGGCTGCCGTCGTCAAATTTCAGAGGCAATTTTTTGGATGTTAATGTGTATGTGCGTTTGTGTATCTCAAAGACACAAATACACATACATCATTAACCTCTAAAATATTGTCTTTCTGGTAAGATTATAATGAGCAACAGATCTGGAGTTCCATCTTGTAAGATTTCCTAACCCTTGTGATCTCAGAATAATCTGATTATGTCGGCGGTTTTCTATATAAACCGTCGTGGTTATTTCAATTCTTGTCGTTAGGTAGATCTACCGACGTAGGATAACAAAATCGAAGAAATAAATTTTTAAAAAAATTCTTATTCAGACGACGGTTTAAATATAATTTATGACGTATAAAGTGGACAAATACGACGTTAAATTCTATAATACGTCGTTATATGAAAACCCCAACTTGGTAAGATTGAAAGATGTCGTCGTAGAAATACGAGAAAGACGTCGTTATATTTACCTTTGCCGTAGTTGTACATTAATTTAATACGGCGGTATTTTGTATTTTACCGCCGTGGATTTATTTGTAATTTTACGTCGCCTTATACGAAAACTTGGTCGTGTTAATTTCTGGGTAAAAACGACGGCTTTTTTGAAACCGTCGTCTTTACTTTCTACGTCGGTCGGTTCATAACTTCCGCCGTTATTTGTTGGCTATGATTTTACCTCTTGAAAATCCTATTTCAATAAGACGTCGGTTTTTTAATTAAGTACGTCGTGTTTTTGGAACAGCCATTTGAAACTCCATTTTTTAGTTGTCTAATGTGTTATTACACGGCGGTTTTATAAAACCGTCGTCTTTTAAAAAACAACGACGGTTTTCACGTAGACCGTCGTGTTTTTGTGGTCGTCTTTTTCACTTTTTGTAGTAGTGTTGGTTCTCCTATGTTTCCTAGAATTAGGTCCCGCGTAATGCGAATAGAGCTGCCCATGTGGCAACATCGTTGGCTTCTGAGAGGGTGAGACAATTGAGTTGGACTGACCAGCCTGTTGAGAAAGATGACGAAAAATAAAATAGCCAATAAATAAATTTGGCAGCAGTCCCAGGATCTGACTTTCCCAGCCTTTTGTAAATTAAATGGGCAAAAAAATAACACTTAATATTTTCCACTATGAAATAATGGGAATACAATAATAATCTCATCAAACACCGCCGGTGGCTAAACTCTCTCTTAGTTTTTCTCTCAAGAGGATTTTCTCTCTCACACAAGTGAGGTTTTCTTACCTCAAAACTCTCTAAGTTTTGGTTTTCTAAACCAAAACACTGAAAGAAGGAAACTTCTTTTATAGCCATCATTCCTAACTAATTGATGGTCATGCATGAAGGAGAGTTTTTCTCCCTTTCTCTTCCATTTTGTTTTCTTTAAATTCTCCCGTCCTTTCTTTCATTTTAATTTTACTATTTATTTTTCCTTCTTTTTCTCTTCTCCACTGACGAGGAAAAACTAATCAATCTCCCCATCTCGACTTAGGTGGAGGGCTTCAGCAGTCCAGTTGCTCTTCTGCAAAATTCATACTTGTCCTTAGGTAAGGACTTGGTCATTATATCTGAATTGTTGTCCTCAGTATGGATCTTCTCAAGCTGTAAGTTCTTGGACTTCAATACATCACATATCCAGTGATATCACACATCAATGTGCTTCAACCTCGAGTGAAAACTTGGATTCTTGCTCAAGTGGACCGCACTTTGACTATCACAATGCAAAATGTATTTATACTACTCTTGCCCTAATTCTTGTAGGAATCACTTCATCCAGAGCATTTCTTTGCACGCTTCAGTAGCTATAATAAACTCTGCCTTAGTAATTGTTAGAGCAACACATTTCTCTATAACTTTGATTGCCACGAAACTTCGAAGCTCCCCCTGAAAATGTAATCAGGTATCATAAAGTAGATTTTCTAGAATCAAGATCTCTTGCCATGTCTGCATCTATGTAGCCAATCAATTCAGGTTTTCCCCCCTCCAAAGCACAAACTCATTTTGGAAGTACCCTTAAGATATTTGAGAATCCACTTCACAGCATTCCAATGCTCTGCCTGGTTTAGACAGGAATTGACTTGCAACGTCAACTGAGTGTGTTATGTCTGGTCTCGTGCAAATCATTGCATACATCAGACGACCAACAATTGAGAAATATAGTACCATAGCCATGATTTCTTTTTCTTTCTAACTTGTAGGACTCTGCTTCAAACAATGGTTGAAGTGACTAGGAAATGGAGTAGAAACTGGTTTTGCTTTATCCATGTTAAACCGCTTTAGTACCTTCTCGATATAAATTTCTTGTGATAACCTCATCAACTTCCGTTGTTTTTTTCAATCACAAGATATACTCATATCGAGCATTTGTTTTGCAGGTCCTAAGTCTTTTATAGCAAAAGACTTGTTCATCTCTTTCTTCAGCTTGCTAATCTTGTCACTGTTTTGTCCTACGATCAACATGTCATCGACATAGAGAAGATGTATGATGAATTCACCATCATCAAATCTTTTCACAAATACACAATGGTCTAAAGTAGTCCTATGATATTTGTGTTCAATCATGAAGGAATCAAACTTCTTGTACCATTGTCAAGGTGCCTGCTTGAGTCCATATAAACTCTTCTTCAGCCAACATACCAAATATTCTCTGCCTTTGACTTTGAATCCTTCTAGCTGCTCTATGTAGATTTCTTCTTCAAGATCTCTGTGAAGAAAAGCTGTCTTCACGTGCAGCTATTCGATCTCGAGATTTAGGCTTGCAGCCAAACCGAGTACAACCCGTATGGATGACATCTTTACTACGGGTGAGAAAATCTCTTCCAATTCAATTCCTTTCTTCTGACTGAAACCTTTCACAAGTAGCCTTGCCTTAAACCTAGGCTTAGAGTTGTTTTCTTCTGTCTTCAGTCGATACACCTATTTGTTCTAGAGTTCTCTTCTACCTTTTGGTAGGTTCACCAAATCATATGTGTGGTTCTCAAGTAGAGATTGCATCTTTTCATGAATGGCTTTCAACCACTCATCTGGTTGATCATAAGTCAATGCTTCTTCATAGCATTTTGGTTCTTCCCCATCTATTAGGAGAACATAATCATCTAGAGAATACCTACTCGGAGGTCTCTGTACCCTGGTCCATCTTTTTGGTTGGAATTCGGCCGCTAGCTCTTAATGGGCTTGTGCTTCTTGCCCCTCATAAGCTACATTATCTACTATACCATTAGTTGTATGACCATCACTCACGTCATCATCAATTGGTTCATTAATAATAAGATCATCAGTATCATTGGATTTATCTTGCCCGTCATTGTGCTCCAATGGAGGAGGAATTGGATCCAAGTTAGCTGGATATTCTCTAGGATTATTAGGTTTACCACATCTTCGAATGTCTTCAATGTTTTGATCTTCAAATAAGACAACATCTCTACTTCTAATAATCTTTCTAGCCACAGGATCCCATAACCTGTAACCGAATTCTTCATTCCCATATCTAACAAAGATACATTCTTTCGACTTTGCTTCTAGCTTAGATCTCATGTCTTTAGGAACATGAACAAAAGCTTTACAACCAAACACTTTTAGATGATTGTAGGAAACGTTTTTTTCTGACCAGAACTTATTTGGGACATCACCATTCAAAAGAGCTGAAGGAGAAAGGTTGATTAGATCAACTGCAGTCATTAGAGCTTCACCCTAAAAGCTTTTGGGCAGCTTGACATGAGATAACATTGTTCTTATTCTTTCAATAATTATTCTTTTCATTCTCTCAGCTATGCCATTATGCTGAGTAGTCTTTGGAACAAATCGTTCATGCTTGATTCTATTACTTCTATAGTAGTTTCTGAACGCCCACGTGTATTCTTCTCCATTATCGGTGCGAATACATTTCAAGCTTATACCAGTCTCTTGTTCAATGCTGACATGAAACTGCTTGAAAACTTCATACACTTTATCTTTGTTCTAAGTGCGTAAGCCCATACCTTCCTGGAATGATCATCAATGAAGGTAACAAAATATCTTGCACCACCAAGAGTACTAGTGGTCATAGGACCACAAACATCAGAGTACATAACATCCAATACATTAGGTTTTCTTTGTGCAGGTCCATGTTGAAACGAAGCTCTATGCTGCTTTCCAGCCAAGAAATGCGTGCATGATTTTAGAGGCATGCCTTTCTTCATCCCAATTAGACCCTCTCTTTCGGCTAGAATTTGCAACTCTTTCTCACTCATGTAATCGAGCCGTTTATGCCATAGTTCAATTGAGTCTTCTGCGAGAGAATTTACGTACCTATTATTGACTTTTACATGTGTTATGCATAGGGTGTTCTCCTTATTCCCTCATGCTAGGACAAGAGAGTTCTTATTGAGTTTCCATTTCCCTTCAGCAAAGACATTGGTGTATTCTTCATCGTCAAGTAATCTAGTGGAGATTAGATTGAGACGCATGTCTGGAACATGTCTCACATCCTTGAGAACCAAGTGACAACTTGTGTTAGTTTCAAGGGAAATATCTCTTCTTCCCACGATCTTGGACAATTTGTCATTTTCCATCCTCACCTTTATCTTGCTCTTGTTTAAACAGCCTGCACTCTCTCTTCATGTGGCCTATCCCGCCACAATGGTAACATTTTAGGTCCCTTCTTGTCTTGGACCTCCCACTCAAGCCATTTCTTGACCTGCCTTTTGACTTGTCTCGCCTGTGGAATTTTCTATTGCTAGTTCTTCCACGATGTTTTGAGACGAGGGCTTCTAACTCTGATACTACACCTTATTCTTTCCTCCTTGCTTCTTCATTGAACATGCTATCTTTAACTATGTCCAATGTAAGAATGCCTTGAGGAGTTGAATTGCTTAAGGACACTACTAGTGTATCCCAACTATCATGCAAAGAGATGAGTAACACTAGTGCTTGTAACTCATCATCAAGCACCATTTGCATATTCGTCAATTGGTTGATCAAACCTAGGAAGTCACTAAGATGCTCGGTAACACTTCGACCATCTTTTTACTTGAGGTTTACCAACCATCAGATAACTAAGGCTTTATTTTGAGCGGTCTTCTGCTCGTACATGGATGAAAATTTTGTCCATAATTTGTATGCATCCGTCTCTTGTGCCACATGGTGGAACACACTTTGATCCACCTATTGTTGGATTTGTCCCACAACTTTTCTAATCATAATGCTCCATGCATTGTCTGACTTCCCTTCGGGTTTTTGTCCCAGCAATTGAAGGGGCTCATACAAATCCATGTAGTAAAGGATGTCCTCCATTCTTGGCTTCCAAATGGAGTGTCAATTTTAACATTGTTGCTGACGATGATGATGGCGACTCCTCCATCTTAAATTACACAAGAAAATATTTTTTGAGCCGAAGCTCTGATACCACTTGTTGGGAAAGATGACGAAAAATAAAATAGCCTACATATAAATTTGGTAGTTCTAGGATCTGACTTTTCCTTGCCTTGTGTAAATAAAATGGGCAAAAAAATAACATTCAATATTTTCCACTGTGAAAATAATGGGAATACAATAATAATTTCACCAAACACCAGTAGCTAAACTCTCTCTTGGTTTTTCTCTCAAGAGGATTTTCTCTCTCACACAAGTGAGGTTTTCTTATCTCTCAAAACTCTCTAAGTTTTGATTTTCTAAGGAATACAGAAAGAAGGCAACTGCTTTTATAGCCAACATTCCTAACTAATTGGTGGCCATGCATGAAGGGAGTTTATGTTGATGATTAATGAAATAGTTTATTTGTGGCATGAATTTGCCACGATATATGTGAGTTTGCACTAGCCCTAGATTTCGGTGCTCGTGTATGTAGTTGATGACCTGTGTTCGGACCCTGATCCCCATCACTCTTTAATTCAGGTTCTCACAAGTGATGGCCGAGGGTCTAATGATTTCCTTTTGTTATTTTCTTGTTTTTCTTTTGATGGAGGTCCCTTCATCCCTGGGTTGCCTGCTTGCTTTCCTGTTGACATTTGCCTTTGTCATGTTTCTGCCGCTTAGGCTACTTTTCTAACGAATTATTATCTTGACCAAAAAATAAAGAAAAAAATTGCGGGCGAGGAGGTACAATTTCTATGTCGCGAGGCCATCCAATGTCCAATTGCTTTGTTAATGTCGGGTGGGGAGCTGGAATTGCCTCTTTCTTCACAACATGTAGATCCTGTAATTTGGTAAATGTAATTTTTTGTTTTATGGTAATGACAAATTGTCGTCTGACTATGCATGAATCGCATAACCATCGCCATTTGTAGTAAAACTGATTACACATTCTTGTAGTGTTATTTACCGTTTGAGGACACACACACACACATATATATATATATATCTATATATATAGCAAAAGACAGAGAATGGTGAAACATTCAAAATACCAGAAAATGTCCTTGGTTAATGCAAACATTAAGAATTGAAATTATTAATTGAATGAGGATAATATGGTAAATTCACACTTTTTCATATTAAAAAAATTAAATTTAAAAGAAAAATTAGATAATAGATTCTATTTTTATGGAACATAACAACCCATTATCTTTTTTAATTCTAAAAAAAATTTAAAAAAAAATGCGCGGAAGCACATGTGGAGAGGCTAGTATATATATAAAGGTTTAGCACACGTTAATATTAAGCATGTGTCAATAATGTTTTTTACAAAAACAGAGGAATTGCAAATAAAATAGACATGTTAAGCAGATCATGCATTTGTGTTATAAACACAAGACATGCTTGCTAAAGCTAACCGACTGATAAGTTGTACAGTTTTACTTCTTTAGATGACATCATTAAAGAAGCAGTAACCAAATATTTTTATCTTCTTTTTTTGATTGGTATGTACCTAGTATAGCTATGAATCTTTCTTAGTATGTTTCGAATTTCTAAATTTGGCACTTCTAAACCATAAGTCCAATCAAAGTTATACAAGCAGCATGTCTCCTTGAGCCACACCAATAATCAATAACAAAAAAAAAACAATTCTGGTTCAATCTCCAGCAAAATTGCCTAAAATTGACAAAGAACATCACATTAAATAGACGGTTTCTCAGTCTCGTAATCATCGCCCCCTCCAAAATCCTATCCCTCTCATAGTCCTCATCATCCAAGTCAAGAGCCATTTGTAATTTGTTTTAAAGATCAAATGGCCATGTCCAAGACATTTACACTTTGCATTGTTGCTCTCTTGGTGTGCTCGATTTGCAGTGAAACGACGAATGCAAAGTATCTCGGTTATGGGACAATACGCCATGATCAACCGTTTCGTTGCGGGGGTCACGGTGCATGCCTTCACCAGCCAACTCTTATAACAGAGGTTGCGAGAAGAAGAAGGGGTGCAAAGGTAGCGGTCGTAAAATTATAATGAGACTTTAGAAGCACAACATATAACCAAGAAGGGGACACACCACGAAATGGCTCTGAAAACACTAAAGAGGGATGCCCATTCTTTTACATAAATATATTTATTATACTAGTCCTGATCTAGCCATATTGTGAACATGATGCAATAAAGAACAACATTATTTAATTAATTTCTAAAGAGTTCAACTTGTTGTCAATCTTTGTCAATAGTAGAATCAAGTTTCTGTTTTCTTTTTCAGGTCACCATATGCAAACATTAAACCACGTTTAGTTAACTCATACACAGACATCTTAAGGAAAAAGAATAAATCTATTTGCACAAGAGATGTGAGATTTTCAAAGGACCAATTTTATGCAAGTAAATCTTACTTCTGTGAGAAAAGAAGTCAGCGATTTTGTTGACGAATTTGGTAAATTTACCATTCTCGACACTTCATGTGAACAATTCAAACTTTAATATAAGAATGACCCCAACTTCAGTTTTTCCACACAATGAGTTTCTCAAGGGCAAGTTTTAATGGGAAACAACTTCGATCGTAGTTCAGTAAGTAATAAATTGTGTTCAAGATTATGTAAGTCATAAATTCTGTTCGATAAATGGCTAGTAAATGAATTGGAAAGCTGCCTATGAGTTCAACACTGTACTAAAGAACCAGTTTTACTCTAGAATCTCGTACTGATTTGAGCAAAAAAAACAGATAATTTTTTTTCAAGTCAAACGCATTAAACTATTTGATGCGTTGTCATTAGTCAATGAATTTTGAACTTTGTAGTATCATCTCTCCAAAAATATCAACGGCTTTGTTCAAACAGAAAAACAAATAAAATTGGTATCTAGTAAACTGTAAACATCAAAATTAATACCTTTGTAGCTTTTGCAAGAGTGAGGGCAATTCCAGGGGCCCCATGACACCACTCAACAAGAACATCTCTGTTTCTACCTTTTTCACTAGCAGAGTAGTTACCACTAGGAAAGCGATTATCAATCCTGTATTTGAGAGTTCCCTTTACATCTTCAACCTCATCTGGCTTCAATTCCATGTCCACCAAAACATCCATAATCCCTGCCAATCCATGTGCGGCTCCCCAATACTTCTCCCCATACCATTCAAACATCAAAGGTGTTGGTTCCTTTTTCCTTCCTCTTCCGGGTCAACCTGTTTCAAAAATGGAGCGTGAGGTAGGAAGAAGTTGGGTCAACACCAGTGCCCCTATTGGATTTCTGGCTCGTGAGAGGACTCGTTCAATTTCGAACAAAATTGAAAGTTGAATCAGGTTGAGAAGAGCGGGTGAGCACGGGCTGGGCCTTGATAGCCTGCTTCTTCTAGCCTGATCATAGGTTACATAGGCATGCCACTATTGGGGATGAGACCAGTCCAATAGACCTAGTATATGTGATGTAGATTGTGCGTTTGATGGATTTGCACTTGTTCTAGACCTCTAATCAAGCTATTGTGCTCCAAGGGGGGTATTGACTCATATGAGTTCTTTTCTATGCCTCAATCAAGAGGACTTCAATATCCTTTCAATTGTGCTTCGTTGGTTTGGTAAATACAAATAGTACCTAGTCAAACAGAAAAAACTAATGTTAAGGTCAATGCTCTCTTGTTTGGATTCAGAAACCTAATTCGGGATCGAGATAACCGTTGATTGGGTTAGGATTTAGTTGATTCGAGCCCAATGGTATGATTCGTGTTCGGACAACAAACTCTTGTTTTCGGGCTAATAAAGCCCTATTCAGACCTAGAACCCTTATTTCGGGTCTATCTAGTAATGAGCAGTTATATCAAGAAGTTCAAATATAAAAATGCTGGAACATAAACTACTAGAAAGTAAAATGTGAAAAAGATCAAAGTCAAGAATGTAAAGTACGATTAAGGTAAACTGCAAACAGAATAAAATTTCCCAAAACTGGAGATTTCTCTATCTAGCTCCAACATGATAACAAGTTACAATGAAAGCCAAAGATTTCTCCATTTAGCGAACAAATTACAATATTGAAGAGATTGGAGATTTCTCTTATCCAATCTGTATAGGTTTCAGCTGTTTAGAAGAAAAATATACTAACTATTTAAACAAGAATCATACCATAAAGATGGTAGAGCAATAAAAGATAAACACATGAGTTGTCAACTGGTTATTTGGGCAGCAAGTTGGCTATTTGAAAAATCTTGAAGTTTGTTCAAGTGTTTACAAGACGTTGCGTCTAATTTTGGAGAGAAGAATTCCCTAATGATGATGGTGAAAGCTAGAGGATGATACTTGAGCGTTGTCCAAAGTCAGTTGTTGATCTGTCCTTGTGAGTTGATCCGAAGGTAGGAGAAAGGATATTTCAAATCAAAATATTGGTTTCAAGGGATGTCCTTTTGATTTGTCGTACTTTCGTAGCTGGAAAACCAGTTGGGAGATGGTTCCTCTTGGTTTTGGAATCAATTATCTAGCTTGCTTTCTTGTTGAGAGAGACGGTGGTCAAGTCATTCTTAATGGTGAAAACCCAAGTTCAGATCGTCATGTGGGTTAATTGGTAACGGTTACCCAAATTTTTAACTTTAGTGTGGGTTAAAACTTGGGTCTTTTTGCAACATGAGCTTTTGAGTGGGTTTCACTAGTAATTGGCCCAAATCCAAAAAGCCTTTTTTGTTGTTTTGAAAGAAAGAAATTGGGCTTGGGTCTAATGTAATCTTATTTGAAAACAAACCATCTTTGGCCCATTTTCCAAATATGTTACAAACAAAAGGGCATCTTCCAATCTTGCCCAATGCTCGGCGGTTCTTGCTAATTTCATCCAAACTGCTCTCTACATTATACAAACCAAAGTACATGCCAAACATTAATGATAGGTCTGACATCCACATGATGCCGGGCCCGCTTACTAACATCATCCTCTTTTCCAAAAGCAAAGGAAAAGAGAGTCGAGACTTTCAGCCAAAATTTCAGCAGAGTCTCCCTTGAAAAACGAACTTCTCCCAAAAATTTCAACCTGTCAAAACACAAAAACAAACCCAACTAGCAGCATGCACAATACAAAAGCACACAATTTACAGAATAGTTCTCCGACCTTACATCCAACCCTAACATGAGCGATAACAGAGGAATTCTAAAGAAATTCAGTTTACAATCGAAATCAAAGTTCAATGAAAATAGATACAAATACAGAAGTTCAGGGCTCAAAATTTCAAGACTTGGCTCGGTCACTCAGCTCAGATCAAGCTACTGCCTGGGGGGCGCAAAACAGAAAACTTGTGAGTAGACAAAAACAAAGTTATTGAAAACAACATACTAACCCTACCATTCAGAAAACTATGCTAAAAAACCTGCAATAGTAACCATTCATACTTAATCAATTTGAAACTAAGATACTCTCATACTCCTGATGTAGTATAATACTACCCAAACCCCTTCCCGAGGTATAGGTTTACGAAATGTAGTATGTAAGGAAAGCTTTTTAAAATAGTAAGCGTATGCATATATATAGTTATATACATACAGACCCCGAAAACTCTCACGACTATATAGATATATGCCTCGAAATTCATAAATATATAAATAATATATATGCATATGATAATCAGACACCAACATAAGTACTGAGGGAAAACATCCAACATGGGGATTGTTTGACTAGCCCGCAAGGTTTCAACTTTGTACCCTACATCTAGGGATGAGCTGTCCAACTAGGGAACTACCACTCTACAACACACACGTCGGAAAATCCAACGCCACAAACCAAACTATGTCCTACGTGTGCAGGCTGCTTTATCACACGCCGGAAAATCCAACGGCACGTGTGATAAAGTACTAACATAACCAAGTGAGCCCACACACCGGAAAATCCAACACCATGTGTGGGTATAGTAACCTGGGGAGGGTACTTAGCATGGTGCAAATACATAACTCATATACCAAACAACAAAGTACCCAACTCTTATAAACCACTTGCCAGTTAAATGCACGGTAATCTAATTTTTGAAAATAATGCTTAATTAAAACAAGTCCACTCACAGAAAGTCTGAAGTTGCATGACCCTGAGATGGTCCTGATTGTTGAGCATGTTGAGCCTGAATACTTATTGAAGAACACGAGGACTAGAATAAATAAAGCACTTTGAACGAGAACTTTAAAACAAATGCCTAGTTTTCCCGGGACTCAAGTGTGTGTATGACGAACAGGGAGTTTCTAAGGTCCAACTACGTGTTTTGAACTTGTATGGAGGATTCTTGTTTACACCTAGAATTTTCGGCCTTAGGACCAATTTAGGCTGATGGCATACCTGGTGTCCAAGGCCGTAATCTTGGTCTCAATAATGGCCCAGGCATCATGGACTTTGGGTATTCTGAAATAGCTCCATGGCCGTTCCTCAGCCTAGCAGTCAGGACTTCATTCGCGGTCGAGATCATCCAGTTTCGGTCTATTGGGCGAGATCGCCCCAGCAACTAGACTTGACCAAACAAGCTATTTCAGCCTAACAGACATAAGCGCCCTAGTAGGACAACTCAGCCCAAGAGACAGGCTCGACCGAACCTCCAGGTCCTCCCAGCAATCAAATCCAAATTCACTCCGATCCTTGGTTGAATCTCCTACTAGCGAGCTTAGCCACGACCTTGATTCACATCCAATCTTCTAGCTAAAGGATGACATCTTCACATGGCCTCACATGGACACTATCTTGAGACCTGAAAAAGGACTGCATATTGAGTGAAACATGGAGTGGGGCATTGGAGCACCACCCAAATCCACCAACTGTCTTCCACCATTTACCCCAATCAACGGTCTTGTAGATCAGGTCGTGCACCTGACGGCCGAGAACTATTACTCTCTCAACCACAATCGCTTTGAGCAAAGTAATATCCAAATAGGCACATTCAATCCATCCACATCATCTTTGAATGTATGGTATGACAGGACCCAACCCGGATTCCCCCTCGGAATCCGTGACTATGACACCCCCGACCCAATTTAATCGTTTTATTCAATTTATCTATTTGTGAAATTATAATTTTGTCCTTGTGTGATAGGGGCACTTGAGGCACTTTTTGCTACGGAAGTATTTTGGGGAAAAGAGTGGCACCATTGTGTCGGGCTCATCGAAATGAGTTCGTAAGCGTGCGGCATGCTCAATTCCGAGTCGTAACGAACCCGTAAAGGTCTAAAAACTGAAATGACATAATAGTAATTTTGAAATTTGTCAACAAAAAAAAACCTAAATACCCTAGTGGGCCCCACTCTTTCCTCTCTCTCTCTCTCTCTCTCTCTCTCTCCTCTCTCTCTCTCTCTCTCTCTCTCTCTCTCTCTCTCTCAGCTCTTTCTTTCCTCTCCGAACTTCTCCTCCCTCGTGTCGAACGCAGAACTGGCCACTATGTGGTCAGCTAATTTCGTCATCCGGCCACCCTCGAGTATTAGATGGTCGGGAATTGACCGTGAGGGGCCGGCGAGCACGATGAAGCCCAGCCACGACCACCGCTCAGGGAGGTGCTGAATGCTCGAAAAAGGTCAGGATTGCACCGATTTTTCTATCACAGTTCTGGGCAATTCCGGCCACCATATTTATCGATCCAGGTATGGTTTTGAAGGTCTTCTACGTATTCTCACTGATGGTAGGGTTGGATTAGATCAATTTTGAAGTTTTGAAACTCAATCTAAAACCTAGAAATTTCAATTTCTGGATCAATTTTCCGACCACTTCTTGGCCAAATTAAGGGTTGGCTTTGAAATTGGTACTTGGGTGACGAGGGGTAAATTTAACGACACTTAAACAAAACGCAACAAACTTCACACACTCTAGACCTTGACCCAATACTCTTATGACTAGTCAACTGTCATATATGAATTATACCAAACAATATCATACACAGAGCATACCCAGATGTACTTGCAAACCTAGATAATAGTGACAACCTAGGCACTCAAAAGGACCCGTCAATCTAGGCATCCCCTGTGCTAGCAATAACTATGGTGAAAGTGTGAAATCATCATAATCAAGTAAACACCAAATAACAAATAATGATGACTAGTCAACTACAAGAACACAAACCCAGAATTCATACGATGACTAGTCAACCACTAAGAACACAAACCCAGAATTCATACGATGACTAGTCAACCACCAAGAACACAAACACAGAAAAATTATAGAGATGCAATCAGAAATTGTTCACCCAGAAACCCACCATTGGGAAAAACTGGGGGTTATCAACAGACCAGGCAATCCACTAAGTAGAAAAAGATTCTGACAAAGGAACACAAGCAAGTTCAAGAAAAACCTAGATCTATTTAGAAAGATGAGCTATACCTCCTTTGTGCAATCTTCTTCTCCAACTTAGCAAAGCTTGAAGCTTAGTTCTTCATGGCAATGGCAGCTCCTTCTCCAGCTCATTCATCCCATGGCACCAGCTTGCAAGCTCTAACTCAGACAGAAACCAAAATTTGGATTCAAAGGAGAATGACCAATTTTTTCAAGAAACCATACTCTTGAAGAAATCAATCTTGAATCTGACTTAGATATATATGAGAGAGTGTTTGATCTAGCAAGATGAGGTTTTCATATTTCAAATGCAGTTTTCAAAAAGAAACATTTTGGAAAACTCAAAGATGAAAAATATGAAGGTTACACTTGAGGAAGAAGAGAAAGTTTACAAAGAAACTTTCCAAAACTTGCCTACAAAAGTGACGACTGCCAAATGAGGAATTCTTTAGCTTTTACCAAAAATTCCTAGGTCAGAATAGACACATGGTAGCTGAGAAATTCGTAGAAAAGGACAAAAAAATGGTTAAGCCCTAGCTGGAAACAGTGAACTGGAAATCCTAATTGAAACAAAGGTTGACTCGTCATACGAAGGAAAGATGACTAGTCATACGAATGCAAGATGACTAGTCATACGAAGGAAAGATGACTAGTCATAATCTTCAAAAATTTAGTGAATGCAATGTAGTGTAATGCAGAATTTACCTTTGTCAAACACATGGTTTTCCATCAGAATGTAGCCAGATAAGAACACTCAGAGAAGTAATTCTTAATCTAAACTTAGAGCTTGGGAAATTACAATGATTGTCCTATTACAAAATTCTCAAGGGAAGCCAAATGAAAATTACAAAATCCATACACTTACAGGCTTAGTTGTAAAAGTTGATCTCCTAGGTGTGCTTGATCGTTTGGTAAAGCTCTTGACTGGCGGTTTGAAGATTTTTCGATCGCTGGAATTTACTCAAGTCACCCACATGTTGCCGGTGCATGTGGCAGCCCTTGGGCCACTCTGTGGCAGGCCATTGTGTCCTAGAAATTGGATACCGTTTGACTATCAGACGAATATTATGCCTACTAGGGGATATCTGGGTTCGATAGGTTCAGGTCATTTGATCGGCCCTATTTTCTATTATGCCGTTCCTCATATCTCTAGGATTGTGTAGGAATTCGCGCATCGAAAATTGGGGTCGTGGATGCTCCAAATAATTGAGTTTAGGGATCCGATCGCTTGATCGAGACCAAACACACGGGATGCGTTTAGGAAACTTTGTTGGACCTTTAGTAGCATTTGGATCAGAAATCTAAAGTCGTGGGCCCAGTTGACCAAAAACTAGAAGTTTGACCAACTGTTGGCCATAGGTCTTTTGAGACCATCTCGTCCTTTGGGAAGGTACTAGAATGGCTTTGGGACTTTTCTAAAGTTGTGTACACACGTTAAGTTTCCGGGAACTAGGGTTTGAATTTAAATTCTTGGTGAGGTTGACTAATTAAGCATCTTCGATATGGCATACGAGCTTGTTCGGAGTGTTTGCTCACAGTCATTTCAATATGTGTATTTTGATTCATCAAATTTGTAGCAGCTTCTCTAGCTTTATTATGAACATTACCAACTGAACCAACATGCACCTTTATTCTTTCTCTCCCTTTTTTCCAATTCCTAAACTCTGCTCCAGTGAAAGCTTCACTACACACTTGTTCAAAATTGGATCTAAAGAGATAGCAATAAAGATAAAATGCAGCATCATTAGATACATTATACTCCAACCCAATCCAATTCATCAAAAAATTGGGGAATGAAGTGTCGATTAATTCTTGATATATTACTTTGTGGGAAAGAATGACCTCTAGGTTGACAAGTTCCTTTTTGTAGATATGCTCTTCGAACCTCATCTCTAATAGTAGTATCATACTCAATCATACGAATTCTTAGTCTAGGGTCTACCTGAAGATTAGCCAAAACCTCATCTAACTCACTTTGTCTTGAACTTGAAGTTCTTGAACTACCCACATTATTTGAACTAACGAATGATGACTTTCTCTTAAAAAATCTTTCCATAATTCTACATAAATTAATCAAAATAATAACTAAACTAAATTAAAGAGAACACCAAATTTATACCAATTAACCACAAAAAATTCATAAATGAAACATCCAATAAATCAAAACAATATGATACAATCATAAATTCGATTTCAATTCAAGTAATTTAGGTTAGAGATAGAATCAAAACCCTATCCTTTAGCCATTCATGGAGCCACACAGTCAGGTAAAGGGGACCTTCTAGCTTGTTTTCATGGAGTCCATAGGGTCGATTGACCGCATTGTGGGGCCGTCCATGCACACAATAGTTAAGATTAATTTAATGGGACTCATGCCCTCTACCCAAACTCAATGAGCATACATAGAAACTAAATATTTAAGTTTACAACCCAGGAAAGAATAAAGGTAGAGAGTGAAAGAAGAACATTCCTACGGCGCAGACAATGATGATGTCTCAAAATGGTGGTCTTGACCTCGGAATCTAGGACTTAGGTGCGCAAAATAGAAAATGTGAGTGCACGAAAACAAAGCATTTAACATAATTTATAAACAACATAAATAACCCCTAGATATAATGCCAAGCAACAAAATCCTTTGTATGCGTACATATATAAGAACTGGTACTTAAAAATAATCCAATTTAGTATACTTATAACAAAATATAAGATAAAAAAATCCATTTAATTAATACTTCATTGTTTAGTCCTCATTGTAAAACCATATAATCGAAACTTCCAAAATAATCTCGTTAAAGTAAAATATAAACATCAAAACCCAAAATATCCTTTTTCTCCCTCAACCATACCCATTCTTAGGCGTATGCTTGCAAACATAAAATGTCAAATAATTTGCAATTACCCAATCTCAAATCCAAACCTCATTTCAAAAGTCCATACATGTGCAGAGCAATCTCATGCAGATGCTTAGAAAACTCAACCTCGAAATAAATCCACAAATGTACCCACACAAATACCCATATACATATTTATATAACAAAATTGACTTTAAAACCAAGATATCCCATAATCCCTATATAGCGTATAACACAAACTTAAACAAGACCTTGTTCCCTTCCCAGACCACTTTCTTCCAAAATGCATGCCTGTAGACACATCAAGTGAGGAAGGATCCCTCAACCATGTGGCCAGGGACGAGCTGTCCAACAGGGGACTGTCCTTCACCAACCCGCACAGCAGATTTCTTAATACTCGTGCTTTTGTGCCAAGTTCTACACGTGCAAACTACCCAGCCAAGGGCCTTCAGTTACAACCCACCAAGGTGTTCGGGACATAACCACAAACCTTTCAATTTCATTGTTTCTGATGTGCGTGACCAAGTGCACGGGGAGGTACATAGACATCTAGACTAATAGCACTCGAAACAGACATAAACCATAACCCAACTCAAATACATAGACATCCAGACATTAGTAGTGTCCATAACTCAATACCCAGATATATATTCAAAGTATAGATAGTAACTCTCAAAAATAACATATATCATAACCCAAATTATCAAAATCTTCAAATATCCAAATATACTCCAATAATCCCATAACATAATCTCATAAACCCATCAAGACCCCAAAATAATTCGAATCATAATTAAAACTTGTTTCATAATCTCAAGACACTATAATCCAATGCTAAAACACAATATAGTTTCATAATCTCAACAGTCAAAAAAATCAAATTTCTATAATGCAAGACAATCCATCTTTGAAAGTAATGATCATTTAAAAACAAAGTCCACTCAGAATAGGTCCACGCTATTCAATCTTGAGAGAGCTTTTCCTCTGGAATACACGACGCAAGAATACTTATTCGAGAAAATAAACATGCGTGATTAGTACGCGTACCCAAAGACGAAGTAAGTGTGCACGACTACCAGGGAGTTTCTAAGGCCAAACTAACAATTTTCGAAAGGTGGAACACCCTCGGAAGACTCACGGTCAACTGAGTGGTTAAACTTCCATATTGGTCAAACGGCCTCTCGTGGCACACAACCTCCGATTTCCGATATGAAAGTCCCTACAAGTTCAACAAGATTTACTAAACATGTCCTGTAAGTTTGGTCTTGATTGAGTGGTCGGATGTAAGATAGTCGCACGATCGGATGGTGATCACTTCGTCATTGGAAATTTCTCGAAACACCCTACAATACCTATACCAACACGTTCAGACTATCAAGGGAAGCATTTTTGGTTCTTGGACCAAGGCCAAAAAGTGGCCGAAGCTAGCAGGATCGAACCCAAACCGTGAGCCCTAAGTGGGTGTTTTAAACGATCTCTAAAACCTCAAAATCGATCTACAATACCTACATAAATGGGTAGAGCACAAAGGGTAGATGAAGTTTCATACCTGGTTCAACGATTTTGGTCACTAGAATAGCTGGAAATTGCCCAAACACTCCCGACGATGAACGAGGGTTTTGGTTCGGCTTCAGGCCAAAATCGCAATCAATCTTGGAGTACTGAAGGTGGAAATGGGTATGGACGTGTAAAGGAGGAAGAGACGATTCTGTTGCAACAAGAATCGTTGGATTTGGTTGACGAAAGAAGGAGAAAAATGGTCCGTTTTCGTGAAGGAGAGAGAGAGAATGCGCAGGGAGGAGAGGAATAAAAAAGAGAGAGCTGATCTGTTTTAAAACCAAACTTCGAAAAATTTACAGTTGTGCCACTGCACTTCCATTCACCACAACTTCTTCGTTAAAACTACGATTTGAGCCCACTACGTGTCTATGAACATGTGGGAGCGAACCCTACACAATGGTGCCACTCAATTCCCCAAAATTCTTTCGGATCAAAAAGTTACTAAAGGGACCCTACCCTGAAGGGCAAAATTATAATTTCAAAATTATATAAATTGAATAAAACGATTAAATTGGGTGTGTTACATGGTAGACCCTCATTTTTAGAAAATTGTATGAGTGGATGAAAACAAAGCGTCAAACATAGTTTATATTCAATATAATAACGCCCTCATTTTTAGAAAATAATGCCAAAATACTATGCAACCAAATCCTTTTCTATACATACATATATACCATATGATACTTGAAAATAATTCAATTCAGTATACTTATATCATGTCATAAGATAAGGAAAACCATTTAATTAATACTTCTCAAATTCTTGGAAAACAAACACCCAAGGTAAACCCGTTAATATAAAATATAATCATCAAAATGCTTATTAAAAATTATACTATATAAATATTATATTATTACGTTGATCAGCAAGCAACTTCGTAGAACCTTTTCATTCTAGTTACCAAAGAACCAATTCAAAAAACTTGAAGGGAATTTCTAAATTTAGCTCTTCTAAACCATAAGTCCAATGCTACCAACGTGTCTCTTTGAGCCACACCAATAATCAATAACAAAAAATAACAAATAAGATTCAATCCCCAGCAAAATTGCCTAAAATTAGCAAAGAACATCACATTAAATGGAAGGTTTCTCAGTCTCGTAATCATCATCTCCTCCAAAATCCTCTCTCTCTCATAGTCCTCATTATCGAAGTCTACAACCATTTGTAATTTATTTTGAAGATCAAATGGCCATGTCCAAGACATTTACACTTTGCATTGTTGCTCTCTTGTTGTGCTCGATTTGTAGTGAAACGGCAAATGCAAAAGATATCAGTAATGGGGCAATACGTCGTGATCAGCCAGGTGGTTGCAGGGAGTCACGGTGCATGTCTCCACCATCCAACTCTTATAGCAGAGGTTGTGAGAAGGGGAAGGAGTGCAGAGGTGGTGGTCGTAAATTTAAATGAGTCTTCAGAACCACAACATATAATCAAGAAGGGGACACACCAAGAAATGGAGCTTAAAACACTAAATAAGGATGCCCATTCTTTTACATAAATATATTTGTTATACTACTCTTGCCATATTGTGAACATGATGTAATAAAGAATAACATTATTTAATCAATTGGTCTTTACTTGATCCAGGATGTGTGATGTATATGCCATTCCGAAGTGATCTATTAATCTCCTAATAAGTCGTTTATCTTTTTGAATAGTTGAATCGAGTTTCTGTTTTTTGTTTTAGGTCACCATATGCAAACATTAAACTACATTTACTTGCTCATACTCAGACATCTTAAGGTAAAAGAATAAATGTATTTGAGCAAGAGATGTGAGATTTTCAAAGCACCAATTTTATGAGAAAAGTAGTCAGCAATACGAATGTGGTAAATTTAGCATTCTCGATTATGAACACTTCATGTGAAATGTTCTATGCATCAGAAATTTGGTTGTTGGTGCTATATATTGGGCTCGTTCTCTTATGAATCTTTTAAACTGATAAAATACCAGACTACAACCTTTTGCTAGGCCTACATGTCGTGTAATCCCGACAACATGTAACATTTGAACAAGTCCAATAACGCAGTATTTTTCTTTTTTCATTGTATATTATATGAGTACAAATACGCATGTTTGAACTGTTTTCTCTTGGTGGCATCTATAACATGATATTTTTATTTATTTTCTTTTTTTCAACAAGAGATTGGGGAAAAGGGGTTTACACAAATATTCCTTGGGTGTCTGTGGTTCCAACATTGTAAGCAAATGTGTATTATTCCATGTCTTCCCTATCTGTCTACGACCACGTAAATTTTTGGGTTGTTCCAACTCAAATGAGAATCAAGACCATAGCAAGGCTATAAATAGTGTTATCTCGCTTATCCAAGTCTCAACCAATTATTATCCGAAACCATGCCATGCATAGTCACCGGTGGTTTGTCGTATGTTTTTTGTTTTTATATAAGCGATAATCTACTTTAATTTAATATAAACTATGGGTAGGGAGATTCGAACACAAGTGCAAAGTAGGGAGCACATCCGCTTTAGCCAACTAGGTTAAGACCATGTGTACAGGTTTGTAGTGTTCATATCCAGTCATTTGACCAATTACTAAATTAAATATTTTTACTTAACTTTTCTGATCGGTGTAAGAATTTTTCTTAGGTAGATCAACAAGAAACTTCGTAGAACCTTTTCAATTCGAAAAACTTGAAGGGAATTTCTAAATTTGGCTCTTCTAATCCATAAGTCTAATTCTACTAACATGTGTCTTTGAGCCACATCAATAATCAAGAACAAAAAATAACAAAGCAGGTTCAATCCCCAGCAAAATTTCCTAATATTTGCAAAGAACATCACATTAAATGGAAGGTTTCTCAGTCTCGTAATCATCATCTCCTCCAAAATCCTCTCTCTCATAGTCCTCATTATCCAAGTCTAGAGCCATTTGTAATTTGTTTTGAAGATCAATGGCCATGTCCAAGACATTTACACTTTGCATTTTTGCTCTCTTGGTGTGCTCTATTTGTAGTGAAACGACGAATGCAAGAGATATCAGTAATGGGGCAATACGCCGTGATCAGCCGGGTGGTTGCAGGGAGTCACGATGCATGCCACCACCATCCAACTCTTATAACAGAGGTTGTGAGAAGGGGGAGGAGTGCAGAGGTGGTGGTCGTATATTTAAATGAGTCTTCTGATGCACAACATATAACCAAGAAGGGGACACACCAAGAAATGGAGGTTAAAACACTAAATAGAGATGCCCATTCGTTTACATAAATATATTTATTATACTACTCTTGTTCTAGCCATATTGTGAACATGATGTAGTAAAGAACAACATTATTTAATGAATTTGTAAAGAGTTCAATGTGTTGGTATTAAAAGGGTTTTCAAAATTTTATTGTTTTCAATTTTGAATTAAATTTTTATTTTGTTGAGACCAAATGCTTCTATATGTGTGGGGTTATAATATCTTAATTTTAAACTTGTATGTTTATATTTAATGCTATAATTTTCTGGGATTGGATGTCTATAAAAGGCTATTCCTCCTTCACATTTAACATACAACTTTACAAGACCCGCCCCGGATTCCACCTCGAAATCCATGACGAACCTTGCTTCCCGTCCGGCATCTAACCAATGATGGACCCACTTCAAAGGTGTGTTGGGACCCGTGCACCCTTAACGGCACATGTATGGAGGATTCTTGTTTACACCTAGAATTTTTGGCCATAGGACCAATTAAGGCTGATGGCATACCTGGTGTCCAAGGTCGTAATCTTAGTCTCAATGATGGCCCCAGCATCATGGATTTTGGGTATTCTGAAATAGCTCCACGGCCGTTCCTAGGCCTAGCAATCAGGACTTCATCCGCGATCGAGATCATCCAATTTTGGTCTATTGGGGAAGATTGCCCTAGCAGCTAGACTCGCCCAAACGAGCTATTTTGGCCTAACAGACAGATGCGCCCTAGTAGGACAGCTCAGCCCAAGAGACAGGCTTGACCCAACTTCCAGGTCCTCCCAACAATCAAATCCGAATTCACTCTGATCCTTGGCTGAATCTCCCACTAGCGAGCTTGGCCACGACCTAGATTCACATCCAATCTTCTAGCTAAAGGATGACATCTTCATATGGCCTCACATGGCCACTATCTCGAGAGCTGAAAAAGAACTGCGCACTGAGTGAAACTTGGAGTGGGTTTTTTCTGGAAAAGCGGCGCACCGAAGAGAATATGGAACGTGTTTTCTAGAAAAGGAGAAGACTCTCCACGTCAAACAAGCACGTGTTCTGAAATATGTCACTGGAGTTATAGGAAATCAACATTAAAATAAACAAATCCAAAAGCCAGCTATGCAAGGGACCTGCCACTAAAGGAAGAAAGCAGATGCAGCTCCCTAGATCATGCCTCCACCAGCTTCATCTTCTTCCTATAAATCCAAGCCTCCCACGAAGCAAATTATCTTTACCTATCATTTATCTTCCTCTAATGCACTTTCAATATCTTTAAATGCTTTCCTAGGAGTAGTGGTAATGTTAAGGTCTTCCATCCATCAAATATATTATACAACCCTTGGTTTTCATGGCGCCGGAGCACCATCCCTGTCCACCCCATGTATCATACAACCTTCGCAATCTAGCGATGCACTGGAGCACCATCCAAATCCACCGACCGTCTTCCACCATTTACCCTAATCAACAACCTTGTAGCTCAGGCACACTCAATCCAACCACATCATCTTCGAATGCATGGTATGACAGGACCCAACCCAGATTCCCCTCGGAATCCTTGACTGTAACACGCCTGACCCAATTTAATCGTTTTATTCAATTTATCTATTTGTGAAATTACAATTTTGCCCTTGTGTGGTAGGGGCACATTAGGCACTTTTTGCTACGGAAGGATTTTGGGGAAAAGAGTGGCACCATTGCGTCGGTCTCGTCGAAATGAGTTCGTAGGCATGAGGCACGCTCAATTCTGAGTCGTAATGAACCCTTAAAGGTCTGAAAACTGAAATGACATAAGAGTAATTTTGAAAATTGTCAACAAAAAAAAACCCTAAATACCCGAGCGGGCCCCACTCTTTCCTATCTCCCTCAGCTTTTTCTCTCCTCCCCGACCTTCCCTTCCCTCAAAATGAACGCAGAACCAGCCACTGTGTGGCTGGCTAATTTCGTCATCCGACCACCCCAGAGTCTTAGACCGGTTGAGAATTGACGGTGAGGGGCCGGCATGCACGAGGAAGCCCAGCCACGATCACCACTCAGGGAGGTGCTGAAAGCTCGAAAAAGGTCTGGGCTGTATCGATTTTTCTGTCACAGTTTTGGGCAATTCCGACTACCATTTTTGTCGATCCAGGTATGGTTTTTGACCTCTTTTACGTATTCTCACGATGGTAGGGTTGGATTAGATCGATTTTGATGTTTCGAAACTCAATCTAAAACCTACAAATTTATGATTTTTGGATCAATTTTCTGGCCTTTTCTCAGCCAAATTGAGGGTTGGCTCAGTTGTAAAAGTTGATCCCCTGGGTGTGCTTGATCGTTTGGTATAGCTCTTGACCGACGGTTTGAAGGTTTTCCAATCGCTAGAATTTACTCAAGCCACCCACGTGTTGCCGGTGCGTGTGCAGCCCGTGGGCCACTCTGTGGCAGGCCATTGTGTCCAAGAAATTGGATGCCGTTTGACTATCGGACGAATATTACGCCTACTAGGGGATATTCGGGTTCGATAGGTTCAGATATTTCGATCGGTCCTATTTTCAATTATGTCATTCCTCGTATATCTAGGATCATGAAGGAATTCCCGCATCGAAAATCGGAGTCTTGGATGCTCTGAATCATTGAGTTTAGGGATAAGTAATTCGGTTACCTGTCGATCGTGAGATCAGGAGCAATTTGACCGCTCGATCGAACCCAAACTCATGGGACTTGTTTAGGAAACCTTGTTCGACCTTTAGGAGCATTCGGATAATAAATCTAAGGTCGTGGGCCCCGTGGGCCTAGTTGACCAAAAACCATAAGTTTGACCAACTGTTCACCATAGGTCTTTTGAGACCGTCTTGTCCTTTGGGAAGGTGTGTACACACGTTAAATTTCCGGGAACGAGGGTTTGAATTTAAATTCTTGGTAGAGGTCGACTAATGAGTAGTTTGGTAAGGTCGACTAATCAAGCGTTTTTGATACGCCATACGAGCTTGTTTCATGTGTTTGCTCACAACCATTTCAATATGTGTATTTTGATTCATCAAATTTGTAGCAGCTTCTCTAGCTTTATTATGACCATTACCAACCAATCCAACATGCACCTTTATTCATTCTCTCCCTTTCTTCCAATTCCTAAACCCTACTCCAATGAAAGCTTCACTACCCACTTGTTCAAAATGCAGCATCTTTAGATACACTATATTCCAACCAATCAAATTCATCAAACCATTGGGGAATGAAGCGTCGATTAATTCCTGATATATTACTTTGTGGGAAAGAGTGACCTCTAGGTTGACAAGGTCCTTTTTGTAGATATGCTCTTCAAACCTCATCTCTAATATTAGTATCATACCCAATCACACTAATTCTTTGTCCAGGGTCTGCCTAGCCAAAACCTTTATCTTAAACTTGAAGTTCTTGAACTACCCACATTATCCGAACTAACCAATGATGAATTTCTCTTAAAAAAATCTTTCCACAAGTCTACATTAATTAATCAAAATAATAACTAAAAAGTAATCTCTCTCTCCTCATTCAGGCCACCCTCTCCTTCTTCTCAAAACAGAGTGGCTTGTTTGGCCTACGTTTTCTCCTTCGTCCACCCACGACCCACAAAACGTTCGTCTCTTCCTCCTCTACACATCCATACCCATTTCCACGTTCGAAACTCCAAGATTGTCACGATTTTGGGCTGGAACTGAGAGATACCCTCGTTTCACCTCTTAAGGTGTTCGTGTAATTTTTGGCGATTTCGGAAGCCAAACTCATCAAACCAGGTATGACTCATCATGCTCTACCTGTTTATGTGCTTGATTTAGGTTAATTTTGAGGTTTTAGAATTCGATTTCTAGCCCTTAATTATGCCGACGGTTTTGGCTTCGTTCCATCGAATTCCGTTTAGTTTTTGGCCATGGTCCAAGAACCAAAAATGCTCCCCGAGTTGTGCTTGATATGTTTGTATAGTCGTCACCGAAAATTTCTGAAGACACCCACGCGCTATTGGCAGTGGGTTGCAGCGCGTAAGCCCTGTTTCGGCAACTTTTTTTCGACCTAGAATTATTCCTTTGTCATCCTGAGCACGATGGTATGCTCGGATTTGAATTCGGTTATCATTTGACTATCGAATGGATATTGTTCCTATTATGCGATATTCGGGTTCGATAAGTTCACACTATTCAATTAGTTCCAATTTCAAGTATGTTATTTCATGTACCTCTAGGATCTGTTGGCTGCGCAAATCTCACGCCCTGGTGCTCCGGGCCGAGGGGATGTGCGTCAACACGTGACGTCCTTCTTTTGGATGCGGTGCGGTTGTGCGCTGGCATGGCAGCACGGTCTACCGTGCGTCGAGATGATGATGAGGTTTGGGTAGAAGATGGTTAAATGATGCGCCTGTTTTGTGTTCGACTCCTAATCAAACGATTGTGGCCGAGAGAGGAACTGATCTCAGCCGTCAGGTTCACGGCCTGAGCTACAAGGCCGTTTAGTGGTGATGTTAGTGGCGGGTTTTAGGCGGTGCTCCGGCGCGTTGCTCAGAAAGCGACGGTCGTATGATATATGGGGTGAATGAGATGATAACAGAGATGGTGCTCCTGTGCCTTGAAAATCAAGGGTCGTATAATTTGCTAGGAAAACAAATAAAGGTATTGAAAGTGCATTACAGGAAAATATAATTTGCTTCATGGGAGGCTTTTGGTTTGGTGTTTGAACCCCTTGAATGTAATCCTGAGCTTAGTATTTATAGGAGGAGTCCTGGAGGGACAATCGAGGCTGAAAAGACCTGCATAATGGAGCCTGATCGGGGTAGTCAAATTGGCATTTGGGATCGTAAAGCATGGTGGTTTGGGATAGTGAAGCATGGTGGTGTGACCCCTATAAATCCCGGTAAATCTCGGCCACCGCCCTGATCGCGGGTTCTGCCCCCTTGGCCGTGGGAACGCATTTAATGCCCTAGTCTGGTGGTTGGTGATCTGACCTCAAGTTGTAAGATTACTTGTGAGAATGTATGCACCTAACCACTCTGATTTCCATCACAAAATCCTAACTTCAGTCACTTCCCTTCTTCCCTTGTGCATTAAATGCTTCTTGCGACTAGTGGGTTTGCTGCGATAGTCAGAGGCATTACTTCATTAAATGGGGCGTGGAACCCTGAGGCTACGTGGCGATTTAACCATAGTATTTTCGGCCGTGTCTTTTACAGCCTTCGGCTTCGTCCTAAAATACTGCGGTTGCGAGGCCGAGAGGATTCTGCGTTTGCAGTTTTTCTTTTGTTTTCAGGAAGGCGAAATGCCTAATGAAACGGTAGGTGCCAAGACCGAGAGGAAGTCCTTTCAATCAGTTAATGATCGTGATTTATTAGGCACAAACATTGCCCCTACATCCCTGTATTCTTCGGTCGTGGCCTGGGCAGAGGTCGAATGGATTCCAAGGGATGGACCCTTTGCATTCCTCCTGAAGTGATTGACAGTTGGCACTTTAAATGCGTAGGTCGAATGACGCATTTAATGCGCAAGCACATCTTGCAGGCCATCATTGCGCAAGCTGTCGTTTCGTCTCGTTAAATGAAACGACGGCTTCTGAGCTTCCGCCACGTCGCGCACTCGAACATACTGTCAGACCGTTACGTCTCTCGAGAGAGCCATGCCCTTTCGTTTCGAATTCTAGCACCAATATAAAAAGCCTTGCCTTCTTCATTTTTCTTCACTAATTTCCCCCCATTCTAACCTGCTCTAATAGCCCCCCTGTAGCTTCTCTAGAACTAGGGTTGATCCATATCCGCCGATCCTCGCGTCGTGGCCTAATCCAGGCGGTTTTTCCCCTTCTGCTGTTCACCAACTATCCTTCGTTTTGGAAAGTCGACGTGGGCCAAGGCTATGGTGTGGCCGAGATTCCTTCCCGGCCCTGGGGGAGGATGACCTTCCTCCTTATGAGGCTGGGGAGAAATTGTCATGCGATTGATGAAGATGGAAGGGCCTGGTATGATGATTCCAACTTGGCCACGTTCGTTTGGCTTAGCACCTTGGTTGCACCCATGGCCGGAGTGACGATCCTGGCTTCACCCAGCCACAGTTGTGCCCAGAATGACGGCCCTGGCCATGGCCGGAGTGACGACCTTGATTGCAACCCGGTTTCACCCATGTCTAGAGTGACGCCCTCGGCCATGGTTGGAATGACGGCCCTGACTTTAGCCGGCTGCACCCGTGTCCTGAGTGACGGCCTCGACCATGGCCCGAGCGACGGCCTTGGCTTCAACCCGGCCGAACCCATGTCCAGAGTGACGGCCTCGCCCATGGCCGCGGTCAGTGGAAATGTGGGCGATGGAGGCGCCGCCTAGGGAAGAATCATCTACCTGCTCTAGCGAGGATATCAAGAAGCGGCTGTTCATAGATTTAGAATGTACTCTATTTTTCGCGAATGTATGTTTATATGTTTCATTCGGCCATGACCGGCCGTTCTTTTGTAACCGCGACCCCTTTCTTTTAATCTAAATGAAGTATAACTCCCTTTTTCTTCTGACCGAATGTAGGTTTTTCTTTCATCTTTGTTGATTGTAAACCTCATAAGCCATTCTTGGCCGTCTCCCATAATGACGGGGTATATTTCTTCAAATACTGGCCGTTTGTTGGCAAGTTGTGCCATTCTCCATCCCTATCTCTCAACTGAAATGCACCTCGGCCAATGATTCGTTCGATAATAAACGGCCCTTCCCAATTGGGTGAGAATTTGCCGAACCGAGGGTCCTTAGTCCCGATAGGAAGCACGACACGCCATACCAAGTCGCCTTCGGCGAAAGTCTTTTGCTTCATCTTCCTGTTGTAGGACCTCGCCGCGATCTGCTTTTGTGCCTGCATTAGGTTATAAGCATCGAGTCTGGATTGCTCCAAATCTTCCAACTCCTAAGCCATGGCTTGCGCATAATCCTTCTCTTCCTGCCCAGGTCGTTCGGTCACACGGAGAGACCGAACCTTTAGCTCCATCAGAACGATGGCGTCATGGCCGTAGGTTAAGGCATAAGGGGATGTGCCAGTAGCCTATCGTTTTGAGACTCGGTAAGCCCAAAGGGCTTCAGGGAGTAAGTCGTGCCATGCCCTAGGTTTTTCCTCAATCATTTTCTCGAGGATGCCCTTGATTATCTTGTTGCTCACCTCGGCCTGTCCGTTAGACTGTGGGTAGATTTTGCAGATGATATCCACGGCCCATCCTCTGAACGGCCATGGTTTAGTAACCGGGTGGAGGGCGTCAGCTAGTACCCTTTGTATGGGGCCGTAGATCTGACACTTGATACACCCTTTCGCATACTCTATGTAGTTTTTTAAAATGGTCGGCCAATAATAGCCGTGTCTCCGGACCAACCATCTCATCTTGACGCCAGACTAGTGAGCGCCGCAAATCCCTTCGTGGGATTCGGCCATGATAACCTTAATATCTTCGGTGCTGGGGCATAGGAGCGATAAGCCGTCTGATTCTTTTCAATACAGCTCGTTCTGATAAATCAAATAACACCGAGCTCGGAAACGAGTAGTCCTTTCATGGTTGCCGGAGGGCTCACGCAGATACCTTACTATGGGGTACCGCCAGTCGGTTTCGGCCACTTCGACCTCGTCGGTAATTTCGGCCGATGATACTTGCATCGTCATTCCTCGCTCGGCCAAAGCTGGCAGGGTACGCTTCTCGATTCTTATCAAGCGATCGTGGTCGCTGTCCGAAATGTTCACACCTGACGCTACCTGGGCCATCTCATTGGCCTCATGGTTTTCGGCTTGCGACACGTGGATGAAGGAGATCTTAGAAAATTCGTCGGCCGTATTGAGAGCCGTTACATAATACATGGTTAAATTCTCGCTCGTGCACTGGTATTCCCCGGTCAGTTGGTTAATTACCAGCTGAGAATCACCGTAGACCAGGACACGGGTCGCCTTCATTTCTTTTATAATTTCAAAACCGATGATGCATTTGAAATCAAGCTGGAACGCAAATTGCCACCTTTGTCCTTGGGGGGACTCGATCACGACCCCGGCCCCAGATCTAGTCTCGGTACTGGAGCCATCGAAGTACATGGTCTAGTAGTTCTTCTCCATGCGGGCCATGCCGATCTCGAGCTCCAACTCTTCTTCTTGCCCCTGAGCCGGGTGGTGGGCCAAGAAATCGGCCAATACCTGACCTTTGACCGACTTTTGAGCCACGTATTGGAAAGTGAATTCGGACAATGCCATCGTCCACTTCCCGATCCGGCCGTGTATGATCGGCCGAGTGAGCATGTATTTGATGAGGTCGGTCTTGGAGATGATCTAAACGGCCAAAGGAAGCATATAATTGCGCAACTTGGTGACCGCGAAATAAAGCGCCAAGCATAATTTCTCGATCGGTGAATAGTTTAGCTCGGCCATGTTAAGGGTGCGGCTCAGATAGTGCACTACTTGTTCTCGCTCAGACTTGTTGTTCTGAGCCAGCAGACAACCGATAGAGCCTTCTAAAGCCGAAATGTAAAGCCTCAAGGGTTTCCCTCTTTTCGGCGGCATAAGTACCGATGGTTGAGATAAATATTGCTTGACGTTGTCGAGGGCCGCTTGATGTTCTGCCCCCCATACGAACCGTTCCGTGTCTTTCAGTTTGAGCAAAGGATTTTTCCTATCAAATTGGATATGAACCGTCTTAAAAAGTTGACCTTACCGAGGAAGGACTGGAGTTCCTTTTGGTCCTTGGCGGAGGTGCTGCCATAATGGCCGTGGCTTTATTTTATCTATCTCGATCCCTCGTTGGTGAACCAAGAAACCGAGAAAGTTCCCGGCGGTGACGCCGAAAGCACATTTCTTAGGGTTCTTCTTTAGGCCGTGTGCCTGCATGCGATTGAAAGCCTGTCAGAGATGCCCCACGTGGTCGGCTTTGGATGGGGATTTTACAACAACGTCGTCGATGTAGACTTCGACGGTTCGGCCAATTAGGTCGCGGAAAATGAGGTTCATAGCTCGTTGGAACGTTGCGCCGGCGTTCTTCAGGCCGAATGGCATGACTACCCATTCATAAGTCCTGATTGCACCTGGACATCTGAACGCTGTCTTGTGGACATCTTCCTCGGCTATGAAGATTTGATTGTAACCAGCGTGGCCGTCCATGAAAGATAGGAGCTCGTGCTTTGCGGCTCCGTCCACCAGGAGGTCGGACATAGGCATGGGATACTCGTCCTTGGGGGTCGCGAGGTTTAGATTTCTGTAGTCAATGCAAACCCTCAAAGCCCCAGTCTTTTTCAAAACTGGTACGATGTTAGCCAACCACTCAACGTACCGAGCCGTGCGGATGAAGCCGGCTTTAAGGAGCCTTTCAATTTCCTCTTTGACCTTAAGTTGTACTTCGGTCGAGAATCGCCTCGGCGACTGTTGGAAAGGCCTAAACCCCTCCCTAATCTTTAGCTCATGCTAGACCAAACTTCTTAGCAATCCAGGCGTCTCATGATAATCCCAAGCAAAACAATCCTTATATTCATGGAGCAGGCCAATAATCTCGGCTGCTAATTCAGGGCTCAAAAGCTGGCTTACGAAAAGAGACCGTGGTTCAGGCTCGGTCCCTACATTTATTTCTAATAACGGGTCCTGGACCTCGGGGTAGTCATCCTCCATCTCGGTGGGCGCTGTTTCCAAGTCGTCAAAGGCTAAAGTGTCCGCCTCATCTGATTCGTGGAGGAATTCGATTAGGTTGATTGGCGAGTTTGGTTGTAAGGATTCCTCTGCCCAATGTTCCAGTAGTCTTTTCAGCAGGTCGGTCATGGCCGCCGCTCCCTCCTCTTTAGTGGCTTTGACTGTCATCTAAAGGCCAGCGAGGTCGATCAATACTTCGCGTGCCGAATCCTGTCGAATATTCTCGGCGCCTAACTCCAGCACTTTCTGAACCGTTGCCTAGTTGGTCGGCCGCTTGCATCATGGCCGGTGAGGACAACCCATTCGATGTCGTCGTCGTCAATCCGTGCTTGCACGGCGTTGGTTTCGAAGGGTTTTTTGTCGGCCGGGTGTATGGATACCCTTTGGCCGTCCCAGAAGAACAACAGTTGGAAGAGGGAGGATGGTATGCATCCGGACTGATGGATCCAGTCACGACCGAGCAATATATTGTAGTCCATGCTGGATTTGACTACGAAGAGAAGGCCGCGACTCTTGTCTGGTCGGCCACGGTGATTTTTAACGGCAATACCCCAATGGTCTTAGATTTATTGCGGACAAAGCTGCTCATGACCACGTCACTGGGGATGAGGTCCTCCTTTGACTTATCTAGCTTCTTCATCAGGGAATAGGGAAGGATGTTGACCGTCGCCCCACAGTCAACGAAAACAATGGACACGGGCACACCCTCTACATGGGCCGAGATGTACAACGGCTTGAGGTGTCGGTATTTGTTTGGCTCGTCTCTAGGTATTACCTCGTTAAAAGCCACGGCCAACAACTCCTCCTTTGTTTTTGGCCTTTGATCAAGCTGCTCCTCGGCCACGTCATTATCCAGGCCATTGGTTTGGCCTCTTGGGGCTGAAAACTCGGACGGTAGCACCAAGACCATATTCATGCTAACCTCCTTTAGCTCCTGCTGGTTTCCCCCACCAGCTTCCTCTTTGGCCTCACAGCCGCCACTGGCAAGGGTTTTTTCCTCAACCATGTCGAGGATCCCCTCGTATTCCTCATCAGAGATTCCCAACGTGAAGTCGTCCTCAACCTCATGTCCAAAGAAAAGGTCGCTGGGGCCTTCGACCATAGGCCTTGCAGTCCCAGGGGTATCGTCTGTGGACGCTTTGATCTTATGGGGGTTTAAGGCCGCGACCTCCTCCTCGAGGGCTTGTCTAGCCTTAGCTAACGCATCCCTGGCCGTTAAGTAGTCGTCCAGATGGCTTAACCGGGCCCTTTCCTCGGTCGTCAGACTTTGCCGGAGTCACAGTAAATCAGCGGGGGTATTCTAAATCGCTTCTGCTAAAAGGGGCCTTGGCCTCTAATCTTCCTTGCTCGGGTCGGTAACCTGGCATCCCTCTTGCTCTGGCCTCTCGGTTTGCCTGGTATACGACCTAGTCGGATCCACCGGTAATGAGGAGCCTCTCTGCCTTAGCGTTTTGAGAGCCAACTCCACGATTTCACGGTTCTCAGGGGTCATGCCGTACAGTCGATGGCCGAGTGGTCCTTATGGAATTCCATGAGAAAGGACAAACCGTTGGCCGAAAAAAGGGGGGTCCCTTCTGTGGTAGACGTTGATGATACCCTCATCCGTTTTCTCCGGGGCTGCGGCCTTTGGCTCGACCGAAACGGTCATCACTCCATGGGGATAACCGTCTTGCCTAGGGCGCCACGTCCTTGGAGGCTTGATGCTGGCAGCCTTCGCCATCTTCTTTTGGCGTTTTAATCCCTTGACCTAGGCCGTCTGTATCTTGGCCTGCTGAACTTGTCTCTGCATCCTTCTCAGCTGGGTTTTTTTCAGCGGTTCGGCGCTGCCCCCAGGTCGTGCATGATACCAACGGTCATCCCATATGACCGGTGGATTGAAAGTCTTCACTGGCCTAGGAACGACTTCGTCTTTGTGGCCCGCCGAGGTACCAGGGCTTTGTGCCCCTAGTCGGTTGAAAACAGCTCTTCTTGCTGGCCGACAGTACTGGCTGCCGAATTTCTTCATAGTCGGTTGAGATGGCTCGGCGGCCTTCCTTTTGTTCTTTGGTGGTCTGAGCTGACCGATCTCGTACTTGCACCGACTACACGGTACCGGCTCTGGTTCGGCCAACGGCTCTTTCCCTTTGCAGGCCGACGAACATCACTATATTCGGCCGGAGCTGAGCGTTGACCATGTTGATGACAGGTGGAGGGAATGGCTTGGAGTCGACCTACATGGCCGCCTTTTCCGGGAATTGGAGCTTTTTTCATCTATCAACTTCTGGATGACGTCTCGTAGGACAACGCAGTTGTTGGTGTTGTGAGACCAAGAACTGTGGTATTTGCAAAACGTCTTTCCTTTGAGCTCTTCGGGTTTCGGAATTTTATGTCCGAAGGACAATTTGACCTTTTTCTAGGTAACAGTAGGTCAAAGATAGCTTCGGCCCGGTCAAATCAAAAAGTGTAGGCCTTTGTTTCTCGGGTCGCAAACTTGGCGTCGGGAATCTTTGTGCGATTATTGTCGGACTTGCCAAGTCCTTTGCAGACGAATGGCTTGTCTATGCTGACTTCGGCTGAGCTCATCTCAACTTCGTCGCTCTCGGCCTCTGTGTGGCTGTCTGCTTCGGCATAGCTGTCCTCTTCTGAAGCTGTCCTCTTCTACACCTCTTCTTTCAACAAGGACACGTATCGATCCACCTTGTTGATCAAGTCGTGCATGTCCCGGAATTCAATTCCCTGGAATTTCTTCTGGTATTCGAATTCCAATCCTTCTTTGGCCATCTTGACAAATTCCCTCTCAGGTAGGTTCGTGCGGCACCAGTTCCTGCACGTTTTGAACCGCTGTAGGTAGTCGCGAGGTGATTCGTCTACGGCCTAGCTCATCCTTGTCAGCTCGGCGATCGTTATTTCTCGGTTGGTCCTATAGAAATGTTCTTGGAATATCCTTTCCATGTCAGACCAATCCCTCACCGAATTCGGTGGAAGGTTATGAACCACGAGAACGCCGCGCCGGTCAGAGAGTGAACGAATAAACGGAGCCTCTGGGCATCCGAATCGGCCTCTCCGCACTTGGCCGTGAAGCGGCCTATGTGTTCAATGGAGGAGGTCTGCCCATCCCCGGAGAATAGTATGAATTATGGCAACCGATAGTTCCGTGGAAGAGGGATTCGGTCAATTTCTGGCGGGTACGGTTTGGTATACTTTGGCTCTTCCGAGCGCCTCTGAGCCAGGCCGTCCTCGATCATTCGCCGCACGTCTTCGAAACGGAGCCCCTGAGGGGGTGCTTCTTTCTAGGCCGCAACCGGCCGCGGAACTTGTTGCCCCTCATTCTGCGGCCTTATCTGCTGGGCCACTTGAACGGGGGGTTCGGCCGTTGCGATCGAGCCGAGCGGCACTAGATAAGCGTCGTAGGTTTGACCGGGGTGCGTATGCATTGCTGTTGGAATGGCCGAACTGTACTGAAGGTGGGAGCGTGAAGGCAATAACGATGCATGTAATGTGAAACGGTCGGATTGCTCTGACTGTACTGCTGTGACGAAGCAGCGGTCACGTTGCTTGGGCCAGAATGGGTCTGGACAACCACGGTGTGAATTGGGCCAAGTTGCTGGACCGCGAAATGCATGGGGCTGCTTTGCCCCAGTGACACGACCAAAGCATGGAGTGGGTCGTACGCTGTTTCTGCTGGGCAGGTCAGTCCGGGATTTACCCATGTTGCCTGGGATTGCCCCCAGCTATTTGTCGGCGGCTGAGAATGCTGGCCGTAGCCTGATGCTTGGGTGCGGGCGGAGACGCCGAGGCTGCTGCTTTCGCCGTAGGGCTCAAACCTCTCACGCTCTTGGCTTCTCTGTACGGCTCTAGGAGGCGTTGCGGACGACGTTACTGGCATCTTCTCCTGAAAGAGCGTCCGTAGCTCTAAGGAGAATCTGTCCATTGCGGCCATAAAGGATGTCACTATCCTGTACGCCTGCTTAGCCATCAGATCCTCCACTACTGCTTGCTCTCCCATGGACTCGGCCGCGCGATCCATCGTCATTGGAACGCTGGCCGAGATTCTGACTGCGTGTTCGGTCTCAGTGATAGTGATTGGTGAGGTGGACTTAGGAGCCTCGGAAGTCATTTCGACTGTTTTGTTTTTGAGTTTTGCCTGTGCCCTAGTTTCCACCATAAGTTTTTGACAAGTGTCCCACCGGGCGTGCCAAAACTGTTGGCTGTGCAAATCTCACGGCCTGGTGCTCCGGGCCGAGGGGATGTGCGTCAACACATGACGTCCTTCTTTGGATGCGGTGCGGTTGTGCACGGGCATGCCAGCACGGTCTACCGTGCATCGAGATGATGATGAGGTTGGGTAGAAGATGGTTAAATGATGCGCCTGTTTTGCATTCGACTCCTAATCAAACGATTGTGGCCGAGAGAGGAACTGATCTCGGCCGTCAGGTGCACGGCCTGAGCTGCAAGGCCGTTTAGTGGTGGTGTTGGTGGCGGGTTTTAGGCAGTACTCCAGCGCGTTGCTCAGGGAGCGACGGTCGTATGATATATGGGGTGAATGAGATGATAACAGAGATGGTGCTCCAGCGCCTTGAAAATCAAGAGTCGTATGATATATTGATGAATGAATTTTCCTTACAATCTACCACTACTCCTAGGAAAGCAAATAAAGGTATTGAAAGTGCATTATAGGAAAATATAATTTGCTCCGTGGGAGGCTTTTGGTTTGGTGTTTGAACCCCTTGAACGTAGTCCTGAGTTTAGTATTTATAGGAGTCCTGGAGGGACAATCGAGGCTGAAAATACCAGCGTGGTGGAGCCTGATCGGGGCAAGTGGGTAGTCAAATTGGCATTTGGGATCGTGAAGCATGGTGGTTTGGGATAGTGAAGCATGGTGGTGCGCCTAACCACTCTAATTTCCATCACAAAATCCTGACTTCAGTCACTTCCCTTCTTCCCTTGTGCATTAAATGCTTCTTGCGACTAGTGGGTTTGACAACATCACAAACTGATAAAATACCAAACTACAACCTTTTGCTAGGTCTAAATCTCCTGTAAATTTGACAACATGTAACATTCGAACAAGTCCAATAACGCAGTATTTTCCTCTTTATTTATTGTGGGGTTATAATATTTTAATTTTCAGATTGTATTTTTATATTCAATACTATAATTTTATGTTTAATGGGATTGGATGTCTGTAAAAGGCTATTCTTTCTTCACATTTGACGCACAACTAGAATTCGATTCTCTCTACATCTCTTCTACTACTTTCATATAGTATGTATGTTACTCTCGCCAATTTTTATAAATCTCTGTATATACATATGTATGTTCCTTGAAAAATTATACTATATTATATATTATATTAACACCAAGTACTATTTTTTTAAAGCCTAATTATTTACTCTAAAACTAAAAAATGGAAACTTAGTAAGGAAACAATTTTGTTTTGTTTTGTTTTTAAAGTTAAACCAGTTTAATAAGTTAACCTTGTAGCATATACCTTAAATTGGAAAATCTACTGTACTCAACAAAAGTTATAAATTAATAAATAAATAAATAAAAAACAAGCAGTTTATTATTGAATATCTTCTGCAAGGGAAGTGATCTTCGAGGAAGAACAAGAAGGTAAAAACACATAAGACTATTGTTTATTTTGTATTGAAAAAGACATGGTAGAAAAAATTGATTATGCAAAGTAATTGATACTTTGGCATCCCAAAATGCAAGGTGAGTGATGTTTTGATGCATTGTATAAAGTTGTTACGTGAACTACATTATCTATAGTGCAAATATTTTTACATTTAGCTTTACGAAAATGAAAACTAATTTCTAATAACACAATATTCCTCTAGGTTCAGCTTTGTATTTAGGGAACAATACTTATGTTGATGGACACGTGTCAAATATTGAGAAGGCTGGTAAGGGTACACATTGGGTTAAAGTTGTGAGCAGAAAATACACCAAAATCGAAACCACCCCTGAACCCTCAAGGGTTAATAATAATAAAAACATCAAAAGGCATTAATGTTTAGTTATTTGAGATAATTAATATTGTGTTATGTTTAGATGACTTCACTAGAGAAGTAGACGAAATGTGAAAATGGAATATATGTAGTTGTTCTGAAAAGAAGCAGATTGAATATTGAAAACTTCATTCATTAACTACCTTCACTTGGTGGATATGGAAAACCATCCGAAACCATGCCATGCAGTCAGCGGTGGTTTGTCGTGTGTTTTTTGTTTTTATATAAGCGATAATCTACTTTAATTTAATATAAACTACGAGTAGGAAGATTCGAACTCTTGTGCAAAGTACGGAGCACATCCGCTTTAGCCAACTTGGTTAAGCCCATGTGTACAGGTTTGTAGTGTTCATATCCAGTCATTTGACCAATTACTAAATTACATATTTTTATTTAACTTTTCTGATTAGGTAGATCAACATGAACCAATTCGAAAAACTTGAAGGGGAATTTCTAAATTTGGCTCTTCTAATCCATAACTCCAATTCTACTAACATGTCTCTTTGAGCCACACCAATAATCAAGAACAAAAATAACAAATCAGGTTCAATCCCCAGCAAAATTTCCTAATATTAGCAAAGAACATCACATTAATGGAAGGTTTCTCAGTCTCGTAATCATCATCTCCTCCAAAATCCTCTCTCTCATAGTCCTCATTATCCAAGTCTAGAGCCATTTGTAATTTGTTTTCAAGATCAATGGCCATGTCCAAGACATTTACACTTTGCATTGTTGCTCTCTTGGTGTGCTCCATTTGTAGTGAAACGACGAATGCAAAAGATATCAGTAATGGGGCAATACGCCGTGATCAGCCGGGTGGTTGCAGGGAGTCACGATGCATGCCTCCACCATCCAACTCTTATAACAGAGGTTGTGAGAAGGGGGAGGAGTGCAGAGGTATTGGTCGTAAATTTAAATGAGTCTTCTGATGCACAACATATAACCAAGAAGGGGACACACCAAGAAATGGAGGTTAAAACACTAAATAGAGATGCCCATTCTTTTACATACATATATTTATTATACTACTCTTGATCTAGCCATATTGTGAACATGATGTAATAAAGAACAACATTATTTAATGAATTTGTAAAGAGTTCAATGTGTTGGTATTAAAAGGGTTTTCAAAATTTTATTGTTTTCAATTTTGAATTAAATTTTTATTTTGTTGAGACCAAATGCTTCTATATGTGTGGGGTTATAATATCTTAATTTTAAACTTGTATGTTTATATTTAATGCTATAATTTTTGGGGATTGGATGTCTGTAAAAGGCTATTCCTCCTTCTCATCTGACATACAACTTTACAAGACCCGCCTCGGATTCCACCTCGAAATTCGTGATGAACCTTGCTTCCCGTCCGGCACCTAACCAATGATGGACCCATTTCAGAGGTGTGTTGGGACCCGTGTACCCTTAACGGGTTGTGCCGTAGAGCCCTGGACGGGGTTGTCTGTGCGTGTTATACTTATTTTCAACAACACTTGTATGGAGGATTCTTGTTTACACCTAGAATTTTCGGCCCTAGGACCAATTAAGGCTAGTGGCATACCTAGTATCCAAGGCCGTAATCTTAGTCTTAATGATAGCCCAAGCATCATGGACTTTGGGTATTCTGATATAGCTCCACGGCCGTTCCACGTCCTAGCAGTCAGGACTTATCAACAGTTGAAATCATCCAATTTTGGTCTATTGGGCGAGATCGCCCTAACAACTAGACTCGCCCAAACAAGCTATTTCGGCCTAACAGACATATGCGCCCTAGCAATAAAGACAAAATGCAGCATCTTTAGATACACTATATTCCAACCAATCAAATTCCTCAAACCATTGGGGAATGAAGCGTCGATTAATTCTTGATATATTACTTTGTGGGAAAGAATGGCCTCTAGGTTGACAAGGTCCTTTTTGTAGATATGCTCTTCGAACCTCATCTCTAATATTAGTATCATACTCAATCATTCAAATTCTTTGTCCAGGGTCTACCTAGCCAAAACCTCATCTAACTCACTTTGTCTTGAACTTGAAGTTCTTGAACTACCCACATTATCCAAACTAACCAATGATGACTTTCTCTTAAAAAATCTTTCCACAAGTCTACATTAATTAATCAAAATAATAAATAAACTCAATTAAAGAGAACATCAAATTTATACCAATTAACCACAAAAAATTCATAAATGAAACATCCAATAAATCAAAACAATATAATACAATCATAAATTCAATTTCAATCAAGTAATTTAGGTTTAGAGTTAGAATTGACTTGAATTGGGAGGTGGTGGAAGCGGAGGCAAGTTTTTGGCAGCAACAATTGTTTGGATGTGGTCACCGAATTCCAGCCAAGCCGAGGAGACAAAGTTCCAAGAGGCCTAGCCAAGTAAGAAAATGCAACCAACAAATGGCAATAAATAAATAAATCCAACTAGTTGGGATAAAGGATCAGCCAAGAGAAAAATCAAATTGGAACTTTTACCAGTCTATTTCAACAAGTGGCCAGATCTACTTGCAAAACTTGGGCTAGCTAGGTTCTCTCTTCCTGGCAGACGCAAGGCCAAGTTAGTCAGACTTTCCTCGCAGAATGATGCGGCTGGTAAGGTTTGTGGCTTGTTTGCAATTGGCTGGAGAAGACAATGGCTGGAGTCTTCTGTTGAGTGGTTTGAAATTTAGTTGGCTGGAAGTGTATTAAAGAAGCCAACGTTGGTACTTGGGTTGGAATTGAATGGTTGGCCAACTATGTATAATGATAGAGGTGGTGATTGGTCAATGACCATTCCCAAAACAAATAAAACATTTTAATATGTATATTGGTCAATGACCTTTCCCAAATGAGGTGTTCTAATGAAATGGCCAAAGAGTTGGCTGGAGAAGTGTGGCTGAGAAGATAGCAGCTAGAAGGGTGCGTGTTTGACAATCCAAAGTGAGCTGGATTGGTCATAATGTTGTTTTGAATTCTTGACATGAGATAAGACATGTTAAATAGCATTCTGACATAAAGAATTTGTGATATTAAAATATTAATTGGCCAACCAGACTTGATTGCCCATAATCTGGGCCAGAAGAGCTTATTGATCCATGCAAATATATGTTATACGTTGTGGAAGCCTTACAGTCTAGTAGATTGGGAAAAGAATTAAAGGCCAACTAGTGG